GAGTTGAAAAATATAGTGGTTTGATGGATTATCTCACATCTAGATCTGAAAATGACAATGTGCTGATTGGTAAAACGATAATACTTTCATCATCTTTTGAGGGTAGTCCCAGAAATATGTGATATCAGGATGCTATGGCAATTGTAATGAGGTATAGCAAGCCTGATTTATTCATAACCATGACATGCAACCCCAAATGGGCAGATATTGCAAACAATTTACAACGCTGGCAAAAAGTTGCAAACAGACCTGACTTGGTAGCCAAGTTTTTAATATTAAGCTGAATGCTCTTTTAAATACTTGTAAATTCCATTTATTTGGCAAAGTAATAGCTAAAATTCTTGTCATTGAATTTCAGAAACGTGGACTACCTCATGCTCACATATTATTGATATTAGATAGTGAGTCCAAATTATGTTCCTCTAATTAATTCCCTTTCAATGTGCATGAATTTCATGCACCGGGCTACTAGTTGGACATAGAGAGAGAGAGAGAATGACAGTAGTACTGTCACTATAGGGGATTTACACCCCATTGACATCAATGGATAGATCTTCCAGACAGAACATCAACAAATAAACCGGCTTATCTATATATATAAAAGCCTAAGTGACCATTCGACCAGCACCTATGACGTGCACTGACCACCAGGGGGAAGACGCTCAACACACAGGCAGGGAAACATGGAATAGACTGATGAATCTCAGAGGGAAGGGGAGAGGGGAGAGGGCAGGAAGGGATTAACCAAAGATCTTATATGCATACTAGAGGCCCAGGGTCCCTTGGCCTGGCCTGCGGGGATTGGGTCATATCCCTGCACCGGACCTCCGACATCCCCCGAGGGGTCCCAGATTGCAAGAGGGCACAGGCCAGGCCAAGGGACCCCACCGGTGCGTGGATTCATGCACCTGGCCTCTAGTCTATATATATATATATATATAAAAGGCTAAGTGATCATCCGTCCAACTGCCCGACGGCCCAACTGGCTGGTACATATGATGTGCACTGGCAATTTAAAAATAAACGTTGACGCGCGCATGTGCGATACATATAAAGCTCTCGTAGTCACCAGTCACACATGTGTGTTTTGATCTGTCATTGTCGATTATGAATTTGGTTGGCACTTCTATTATAGAGAAAGGGCAAATAGCGATATTAAAATATTTCTTCTAGCCCTGGCCGGTTTGGCTCAGTGGAGAGAGCGTCGGCCTGCGGACTCAAGGGTCCCAAGTTCGATTCCGGTCAAGGGCATGTACCTTGGTTGCGGGCACATCCCCAGTGGGGAGTGTGCAGGAGGCAGCTGATCAATGTTTCTCTCTCATCGATGTTTCTAACTCTCTATCCCTCTCCCTTCCTCTCTGTAAAAAAATCAATAAAAAAAATATATTAAAAAAAATATTCCTTCTAATTAATTTCCTTTCAATGTGCACGAATCCATGCACCAAGCCACTAGTACAGCGGTGGGCAAACTTTTTGATTCGAGGGCCACAATGGGTTCTTAAACTGGACCGGAGGGCCGGAACAAAAGCATGGATGGAGTGTTTGTGTGAACTAATATAAATTCAAAGTAAACATCATTACATAAAAGGGTACGGTCTTTTTTTTTTTAGTTTTATTCATTTCAAACGGGACGGATCCGGCCCGCAGGCCGTAGTTTGCCCACGGCTGCACTAGTATGACATATTAGCCTAAATGGATTTAATGGATGTTTATAAAGCATTTCATACCAAAGCAGCAGAATGCACATTCTTTTCAAGTACACATGGCACATTTTCTAGGATGAATCACATATTAGACCACAATATAAGTCTCAAAAAAATTTTAAAGAGACTGAAATTATATCAAGCATCTCTGACGAAAATGGTATGAAATTAGAAATCAACTAAAAGAAAAAAACTAAACGTACAAACACATGGAGATTAAATAACATGCCACTTAACAATGAATGGGCCAACAATGAGATCAAAGAAGAAATCAAAAGCTATCTTGAGGCAAATGAAAATAAAAACACAACTACTCAAAAACTATGGGACAGAGCAGCCAGAGCAGCGCCTTCCCACCTGCCTTAGCACAGAGGAGGGGAAACTGGGGACATGGGAAAGCCCAAGGGCTCGCAAGGGCAGACCTTTCCCCGCCCTCACCTCCCACTCTCCCGCCGAGCATCAGGCCTCAGCTCCAGCCGAGCGGTGTTGCTAGAGTGTCCGTGCCCAGGGCTGGGCCTTCTGGCGCCTGCGCTGCCGCTGCCGTGGCGCTCCGCTCACTGCTTGCCCTTGCCCGTGAGGCACTGGACCTCCCGCCACCCCTCCGCGGGCCTTCCGCATGGTGGTAATAGCAACATTCAGCGGGAAAGGCTAGCGGACTCGGCGCCCAATCCTGCGGGCACGGAGGCTGGGTAGGCGGGTGGGACTGCGCGCACCTTGCACCCCAGAGTGCAGTGGACAGGCAGCTGATGCGCTCAGTCCTGGGCCCCGTCCCGACCACTGCGGGGCAGCCCCCAGCCTGCGGGCAAGAACTCGCCCCTCAGGCTCCTACCAGGGGAAAGGACGGACCCAGCGCTTCAGAGGGACCTGCCTCACTACTCGTATGTGGCAAAATTTCTCGCAAGCTCCTGGGCTGCATGTTGCCGAGCAAGGGCACCTCTCCCATGTTTGAGTCCAAGAGTCACTCCCAAGATGGCCTGAAATCAAACACGAAGCAAAAGGTCACAAGCCACGCTGTAGTCTCCAGTTCTTCTGGACATGAATATGTCTGACACCTTTCCCAAAGACCACCATTTTCAGCACACTGGGCAGTGAGAAGTCCTTATCTGAATGCAAAAAGGAACACCAATGGAAAACTTCGATGTACATAGGCATAACTTCAGTCTGCTTTATAAACCCTCTGATTGAGAAGCCAATTGCCAAAATTCTTCAGCAATCCTGGAGACACAATTACTCTTGCTTTTTTCAAGAGTATTATAGGAGGCGCAAGCAGCCTGCCCCCGTCTGAGGAGCAGTAGCTACGTGAGGAACCTGACCCCATCTGAGGAGCAGCAGCCGGGTGAGCAGCCCGCCCCCGTCCAAGGACATCAGCTGCAGGAGCAGCCTGCCCCCACCAGCCAGAGGAGCCACCACTGCTGTGAGCAGGAATAAACTTAACTAAGGAGGTAAAAGACCTGTACTCGGAAAACTACAGGACACTGAAAGAAGAAATAGAGGAAGACATACACAGATGAAAGAACATACCATATTCATGGATTGGTAAAATCAACATCATTAAAATGTCCATACTACACAAAGCAATCTATAGATTCAATGCACTCCCCATTAAAATACTAACGGCATATTTTACAGACCTAGAACAAACTCTCCAAAAATTCATCTGGAATAAAAAAAGACCCCGAATAGTTGCAGCAGTCCTGAGAAAGAAGAACAAAGTAGGTGGGATCTCAATACCAGATATCAAGCTGTATTACAAAACCACTGTTCTCAAAACAGCCTGGTACTGGCAGAAGAACAGACATATAGATCAATGGAACAGAACAGAGAACCCAGAAATCGACCCAAACCACTATGCTCAATTAATATTTGACAAAGGAGGCATGAACATACAATGGAGTCAAGACAGTCTCTTCAATAAATGGTGTTGGGAAAACTGGACAGATACATGCAAAAAAATGAAACTAGACCACCAACTTACACCATACACAAAAGTAAACTCAAAATGGATAAAAGACTTAAACTAAGATGGGAAACCATAAAAATACTAGAGGAATCCAAAGGCAGCAAAATCTCAGACATATGCCGAAGCAATTTCTTCACAGATACTGCTCCTAGAGCAATGGAAACTAAGGAGGAAATAAACAAATGGGACTGCATCAAAATAAAAGGCTTCTGCACAGCAAAAGAAACCATCAACAAAACAACAAGAAGACCCACTACATGGGAGAACATATTTGCCAATGATATCACCGATAAGGGTTTAATCTCCAACATTTACAGGGAACTCACACAACTTAACAAAAGGAAGATAAACAATCCAATCAAAAAATGGGCAAAGGACCTAAATAGATACTTTTCAAAAGAGGACATTCAGAAAGCCAAGAGACATATGAAAACATGCTCAAAGTCACTAATCATCCGAGAGACGCAAATAAAAACAACAATGAGGTACCATCACACACCTGTCAGACTGGCTATCATCAACAAATCAACAAACGACAAGCGCTGGAGAGGATGTGGAGAAAAAGGAACACTCGTGCACTGCTGGTGGGAATGCTGACTGACTGGTGCAGCCACTGTGGAGAACAGTATGGAGCTTCCTCAAAAAACTAAAAATGGAACTCCCATTTGACCCAGTGATCCCACTCCCAGGAATATATCCCAAGAAACTAGAAATACCAATCAGAAAGAATATACGCACCCCTATGTTCATAGCAGCACAATTCACCATAGCTAAGATCTGGAAACAGCCTAAGTAACCATCAGCAGATGAGTGGATTAAAACTCATTAAAACTGTGGTACATCTACACAATGGAATACTACGCTGCGGTAAAAATGAAGGAATTCTTACCATTTGCAACAGCATGGATGGAATTGGAGAGCATTATGCTAAGCGAAATAAGCCAGCCAGAGAAAGGTAAGTATCTCATGATCTCACTCATTTATGGAATAAAATGAACAACATAAACTGATGAACAAAAACAGATCCAGAGAGAAGCAGCAATCAGACCGTCAAAACTCAGAGGGAAGGTAGGGGAGGGTGGGGGTAAGGGGGAGAGTTCAACCAAAGGACTTGTATGCATACATATAAGCCTAACCAATGGACACAGACAACAGCGGGGTGGAGGTATGAGTGGGGAGGTGTGTGTGTGTGGGGGGGGTAATGGCGGGAAAAGAACACATATGTAATACTTTAATCAATAAAGAAAACACACACACACACAAATTAAATTTTAAAAATAGATGAAAAACATATATAGCCCCTACGACATAATAAATTTCTTCTATGTAGAACTTACACATCTTCTTCTACCCGAAGCTGTTGAATGTGAGATTTAATTTTCTGTCCTGAAGTTTTTAAGATGATGTTTTCTAGGAGGTGGAAATCATCCTGATTAAAGAGTTCATTATCCTCCAGTGGCCCAATGATCTGTGAAGGAGAACAGAGTGGCCAGTGTGGAAACCTGCAAGCTGTAAAGCAGGGCTTGGTTGTCCTCAGGGTGCCTAACGAACCAAACCACGTTAAAGACCCAAGACATGCTTACGTCAGAATAAAGTCAATGAAAATGTAAAAGCAACATCCCCATGAACTCACACTGTTATTTACTTATCAATACCTCAACTGCACAGAGTGTAGACTTGTATACTTTGCAATATTTTTATAGTAAGCAAACTCTGAAGTAAAAGAATACAGTTTTCATTAATTCTCACCAAATATAAATAATAAAGCCACAACAGAGATGTAGCAGTTGATATAGAAGGTTTGCCCTACATGCTAAGACTTTAAAGTGTGGTTTGCCCACCGCGGCCTACACTCTCATCTCAGTGTTGTGAGGCTGAATGAACGAGTGTCAGCCCAACCCAGCTGCATGCACACAGGCTGCCAAGCTGAGGCACGTCCCCACGGGCTGAGTGGTTCCTGGGTCAGGTCTCATGGACTTGTGTTCTGAGAGCCACCGCATCTCACGGCCTTGACCATGGCAGGACAAAAGTCAACACAGGACACATGTCAAAATGAGCAGAAACCATCGCCAGCATTGCATCAGCCCTCCTCCCCTTTGGAAAAGAGCGGCTCTGTCTGAAGAGCTTCTACCTTCCAAGGAGAATGCGGCCAAGACTGGTCACTGATCTACTGTGAAGTCAAGCTTGTCCTCACCCTTCCATTGCTGATCACTGCCCTCTGTCCCTTCTTCAGCTTCAGGACATCCCTGCAGTACATGGCATGAGACAAAATGAAATCCATTTTGGAAGACTCAAAGACCTCTTTAAAAAGACTGAAATCCATGCCCTAGGAAAGTAATTGTTATTAAGGAAAAGTAATAGTTATTAAACCATAAAAATGAATAGCATAATGAATACATCATAAAAACGCTCTATTAGTGAAGTAACAACTAATTTCAATAATTAGCATTATGATGTTTCCACTCTCCCTCCCATTTTCCCCACCCTCCTACCTATCAAGTATTGCTCATTTCTTTTATGTAATTGTTCAAGTGGCAAACTAGTGTTCATGATACCTTTATTCTGCATTGTAAAATCTAATTTCAAGTGAGAGACTTTCTTTTAATTGAAAAATGAAGTATACTTATCATTTTATAATAAGTTTTTAGACTGAAAAACAGTAAAAGGCGTTTTACATATAACTGAATAAACATGGGCTTATATTGGAAACACATCAAACACATTAGCTTCTAGCTCATTAAGTAGCTTAAATCTCAGTTCTTTTGCTCTGACAAAATATTGTCTATCTTTTAAAAACTATAAAAACAAATGGCCTGTGCTTAAAACATACATCTTAAAATCTAGCAAGTTTAAAAGCAATAAAGGGAATGTGGCAGAATGGTTATTTCTTAAAAGATTCCTCCAACAACAAAAAGAGAAATCCTGAGACTCAAAACTAAAATCACCATTCTGCTCAGACACTGCAGCCCCGAGGAGCAGACTTCTGTGGTAAATAACAGAGAGGTGGTCTCAGCAGTGCAGATACTCACCCCAACGGCGAACTCCCCAACATCAGCCCCCGCGGCCAGGGCCTCCGCAGTCCCCTCCTTGGCCATTTTTGTGATGAAGTTCTTGGCAGTGCTGGAGGTTTGTGTTTGGAGAGCTGCCCAGATTGCTCGGGAGATCCGAGTGTTCTCATAATTGATATCTTCCTTAGGATTATTGATCATGCTTATTCTCACATTGTTACTAGATTTCTATTTATAAAACAGGAAATAAGGATTAAATGGTAGATGTTTGCAACTTAAAAAGTGGCATTTTCAGCCATATTCTATAAAAAGGAAGTAATATCTCTCTTAAAAGTTGTGGATAGTCCCTCTCTGTATACAGAACAAGGTTAAAATGCTACAACCAGGCTTGTGATCCCTTGTATGAACTGGCCTCTACCCTACCTTTCCACCTTCATTTTTACCACCCTGTAAAGACAGCATACAGTACAAACCATCAGAGTCCTATATTCCCCCCCCACACACACACACATTTTGTATTCTTCTAATACACATCATGCCTCACATTGGCATGGGAACCCCAAGTACACCCATCTTTGCTTCCTTAGGTCCCAAGCATTCTTCAGGGCTCTGCTCCACCCTCCTTAGTTCACATGGCCTTTTCAGATTTCTAGTAAGATTTACCTATCCCTGAGTAGAGAGACAAGAATCCATGTGAGAGAAGATATCTGGGACCCTTAAAACCAAAAAAGGGCTCGTATCAAGAACATAAGCAACAGAAATTCATAATTCTGTATATCAAAAGACATGTATAAGAATATCCATGGCAGCATTCTTCAGAATACCCCAACCTAGAAACAACCCAAATATCTACCAAATATACTAAATAAACAAAACTCTGATATATTACATGATACAAAATGACACAAGGAAAAAGAACTAACATTACTCATAATTTCATGAATCTCAAAAATACTGAGGACAGAAAACACAAATATGTATTATAAGATTCCATTAAAAGAAAGTAATAGGTAAACTTATTCTATGATGAGAGAAGAGGGAAAGGCTGGGGCCCTAGTGTGGCCACAGCAGGGAGGGCTCTCAGGAATGTGACACTTCTCTTTCCCAGGAATGGTCACATGCGTGTGCTCACTTTGAGACACTGTATAGCCTATGATTTGTGCACTTCTTTTGAAGCTATATTTTTACTTCATTTAAAATATTCAACTCTCAGAACCAAGATGGCAGCATAGGTAAACACCTATACTTGCTGCCTCTCACAACCACATCAAAACTACAACTAAAAGACAAAACAAATATCATCCAGAACCATGGGAAAGCTGGCTGAGTGGAATTTCTAGAACTAGAAGGAAAGAAAAAAGTGCATTGAGACTGGTAGGAGGTGCGGAGGGTGCACACAAAATGGATTGGCACCTGAGTGCGATGTTGTTTTTTTAAATTGGGAGGGAGATACAAGCGCCTGATTGCTCTGAACTCCAGTTCCGGGCAAGACTCTGGGGACCCAGACTCATATGGGGAGAATCTGGCTTGTCTGGCATCGGGCCAGAACATGAGGGTGGCTTTCTCTCAGAGGTACTCGCAGCGTTCATTGTTCCTGCACAGGACCACAGGGCACAGAGACCCGGGGACCTCTCTGGGGCAGGGCTGACTGGCAGCCATTGCTGTTTGCTCCGCCCTGGTGACTCCCTGAGACCCCGCCCCACCCAATTTATAACCCCACCCAAGCTGTGCACTGCAGCTTTTGCATATGAATAACCTGTCCTTTTGCAACCTAAAACCTAACAAACTGCTGCTGGGTCAGAGAGCTCCAAAGCTTCCGAAAGAAGGCCTAAGGCTCGGCAGAAGCAGCCTGCATTGCTTCACAGCTGCGCCTCATCTGGGCACTTCCAAACCCAAAACAAAGAGGAAAAATCTGCAGATCTCTCTGTAGCTCCTGCTGGGTGGCCTCAGGCAGTGGCTGACTTTGCATCTCCTTGGAGATCCAAGAGCCACTGTACCCAATGGTCAGAGTGAGACCACGCCAGATTACAACTCTTCACATCCATAAGAGACACACTCAAGGGGCAGACTCAGTGAGCATCAAAGCCCCACTGAAGCAAGTCCTGCCCCATAAGCGTGTCTCCAGCACAGCAGTTCTCCCATTGTAGACATAACTGGTCCTCACAGCCAATTGGCCTGGAGGTCAATTCCCCCCAGTGCTTACAACAGCAATCAAGGCTTAACTACAACAAGACTGTGCACACAGCACACGAAGGGGTGCACCAAGAGTGTCCGCCTCAGGTAATTGGGGAGGCTGAGCCACTGGGCCGTATAGGACACCTAGCACACAAAGCCACTCTATCAACACAGGGAAGCAGCCAAAATGTGGAGACAAAGAAACAGGTCACAAATGAAAGAAATGGAGGAAAACAAACTAATGGATATAGAGTTCAAAACCACGGTTATAAGGTTACTCAAGAATCTTCTAGAAACCTCTGAGAAATTTAGTGAGAACCTCAAGAATATAAAAAAGGACCAATCAGAAATTAAGCATACACTGACTGAAATAAAGAATATTATACAGAGATCCAACAGTAGACTAGAGGATCGCAAGAATCAAGTCAAAGATTTGAAATACGAAGAAGCAAAAAACACCCAACCGGTAAAGCAAAAGGAAAAAAGAACCCCAAAATATGAAGAGAGCGTAAGGAGCCTCTGAGATAACTTCAAGCGTATCAACATCCGAATTATAGGGGTGCCAGAAGAAGAGAGAGAGCAAGATATTGAAAAACTATTTGAAGAAATAGTGACAGAAAACTTCCCCTACCTGGTGAAAGAAATAGACTTACAAGTCCAGGAAGCGCAGAGAACCCCAAACAAAAGGAATCCAAAGAGGACTACACCAAGACACATCATAATTAAAATGCCAAGAGCAAAAGACAAAGAGAGAATCTTAAAAGCAACAAGAAAAAAACAGTCAGTTACCTACAAGAAAGTACCCATATGACTGTCAGCTCATTTTTCTTTTTTTTTTTTTTTTTATTAGTTAAGGTATTACAAATGTGTCCTCATCTCCCCCATTAACCCCCAACCTCCCCCCCACACACAAACTCATGCTCCCATCCCCCTGTTGTCCATGTCCATTGGTTTGGCTTATATACATGTATACAAGTCCTTCGGTTGATCTCTTCCCCTTACCCCCGCCCTCCCCTACTTTCCTTCTGGGGATTGATAGCCTGATTGCTGTTTCTCAGTCTTTGGGTCTGTCCCTTTTCATCAGTCTATGTTGTTCTCTATAATCCACAAATGAGTGAGATCATGTGGTATTTATCTTTCTCTGACTGGCTTATTTCACTTAGCATAATGCTCTCCAGTTCCATCCATGCTGTTGCAAAAGGCAAGAGTTCCTTTTTTTTTTACCGCAGCATAGTATTCCATTGTGTATATGTACCACAGTTTTCTAATCCACTCATCTGCTGATGGGCACTTAGGCTATTTCCAAATCTTAGCTATGGTGAATTGTGCTGCTATGAACATAGGGGTGCATATATCCTTTCTGATTGGTGTTTCTGGTTTCTAGGGATATATTCCTAGTAGTGGGATCACTGGGTCAAATGGGAGTTCCATTTTTAGTCTTCTGAGGTAGCTCCATACTGTTCTCCACAGTGGCTGCACCAGTCTGCATTCCCACCAGCAGTGCAGAAGGGTTCCTTTTTCTCCACATCCTCTCCAACACTTGTTGTTTGTTGATTTGTTGATGATAGCCATTCTGACAGGTGTGAGATGATAACGCATTGTCGTTTTGATTTGCATCTCTCGTATAATTAGTGACTTTGAGCAGGTTTTCATATGTCTTTGGGCCTTCTGTATGTCCTCTTTCGAAAAGTGTCTATCTAGGTCCATTGCCCATTTTTTTATTGGATTGTTTATCTTCCTTTTGTTAAGTTTCATGAGATCCCTGTAAATGTTGGAAATTAAACCCTTATCGGTGGTATCATTGGAAAATATGTTCTCCCATGTAGTGGGTCTTCTTGTTGTTTTGTTGATGGTTTCCTTTGCTGTGCAAAAGCTTTTTATTTTGATGTAGTCCCATTTGTTTATTTTCTCCTTAGCTTCCATTGCCCTAGGAGCATTATCAGAGAAGAAATTTCTTCGGCATATGTTTGCGATTTCGCTGCCTGTGGATTCCTCTAGTATTTTTATGGTTTCCCGTTTTACATTTAAGTCTTTTATCCATTTTGAGTTTATTTTTGTGTATGGTGTGAGTTGGTGATCTAGTTTCATCCTTTTGCATGTATCTGTCCAATTTTCCCAACACCATTTATTGAAAAGACTGTCTTGACTCCATTGTATGCTCTTGCCTCCTTTGTCGAATATTAATTGGGCATAGTGGTTTGGGTTGATTTCTGGGGTCTCTATTCTATTCCATTGATCTATATGTCTGTTCTTGTGCCAATACCAAGCTGTTTTAAGAACAGTGGCTTTGTAATACAGTTTGATATCTGGTATTGAGATCCCACCTACTTTGTTCTTTCTCAGGATTGCTGCAGCTATTCGGGGTCTTTTTTTATTCCAGATGAATTTTTGGAACGTTCGTTCTAGATCTGTCAAATATGCTGTTGGTAATTTAATGGGGATTGCATTGAATCTATAAATTGCTTTGGGTAGTATGGACATTTTGATGATGTTGATTCTACCAATCCATGAACACGGTATATTCTTCCATCTGTTTATGTCTTCCTCTATCTCTTTTTTCAGTGTCCTGTAGTTTTCAGCATATAAGTCTTTTACCTCCTTAGTTAAGTTTATTCCTAGGTATTTTAATTTTTTTGGTGCAATGGTAAATGGGATTGCTTCTGTAGTTTCACTTTCTGTAAGTTCATTATTGGTGTAAAGAAATGCCATGGATTTCTTAGCATTAATTTTGTATCCTGCTACATTGCCGAATTCATTTATTAAGTCTAATAATTTTTTGATGGAGTCTTTAGGGTTCTGTATGTACAGTATCATGTCATCTGAAAATAAGGACAGTTTTACTTCTTCTTTTCCAATCTGGATGCCTTTTATTTCTTCTTCGTGTCTGATCGCAATGGCTAGTACTTCCAGTACTATGTTGAACAGGAGTGGTGAGAGGGGGCATCCCTGTCTTGTTCCTGTTTTTAGGGGGAATGGTTTTAGTTTTTGCCCATTGATTATGATGTTGGCTGTGGGTTTGTCATATATGGCTTTTATTATGTTGAGGTATGATCCCTCAATTCCTATCTTGCTGAGAGTTTTTATCAAGAAAGGGTGTTGGATTTTGTCAAATGCTTTTTCCGCATCAATTGATATGACTATGTGGTTTTTCTCTCTCAATTTGTTTATGTGATGTATCACATTTATCGATTTGCGGATATTGTACCATCCTTGCATCCCTGGGATAAATCCTACTTGGTCATGGTGTATGATCTTTTTGATGTACTGCTGGATCCGATTTGCTAGGATTTTGTTGAGGATTTTGGCATCTATGTTCATGAGGGATATTGGCCTATAATTCTCTTTCATTGTATTGTCTTTATCTGGTTTTGGGATTAGGGTGATGTTGGCTTCTGTCAGCTCATTTTTCAACAGAAACTATGCAGGCCAGAAGGAAGTGTCAAGAAATATTCAAAGTGATGAATAGCAAGAACCTACAACCAAGATTACTCTACCCAGCAAAGCTATCATTTAGAATTGAAGGTCAGAGAAAGAGCTTCACAGATAAGAAAAATCTAAAGGACTTCATCACAGCCAAACCAGTATTATATGAAATACTGAAGGGTATTCTTTAAGAAGAGGAAGAAGAAGAAAAAGGTAAAGATAAAAATTATGAACAACAAAGTGATAACAAATACATATCTATCAACAAGTGAATCTAAAAATCAAGTGAAAAAAAATCTGATAAACAGAATAAGTTGGTGAATATAATAGAATCAGGGGCATAGAAAGGGAGTGGACTGACAATTTTTGGAGGGAAGGGGGTGTGGGGGGTGCAGGAAGATATTGGACAAAAATCTTACACCTATGGACGAGGACAGTGGCGGGGGGGGGGGGGGAGGTTAAGGGCATGGGGTGGGGTGGGAACCGGGTGGAGGGGAGCTATGGGGGGGAAAAAGAGGAACAACTGTAATAATCCGAACAATAAAGATTTATTAAAAAAAGATATTCAACTCTCCCTTCCTGCTCCCATTCTACCACCACTTGCACGTCTATCACTCAGAGTTAGGGCACCTTACATACATGTCAGTCTGAGTTAGGGCACCTTACACGCGTGTCAGTCTGAGTTAGGGCACCTTACACACGTCAGTCTGAGTTAGGTCACCTTACACACGTCAGTCTGAGTTAGGGCACCTTACACATGTATCTGACACGCGTGTCGGTCTGAGTTAGGCACCTCGCACATGTATTGATCGTCCTTCACTAGGACTGCTCCTGATTCAACTCTGAATTAACCACAGCAACTCATCTGTTTCCTCTTAGAACAGAAGGGAACTCCGCTCCTCAGTGAGGCTGCAGCCGCCTAGATGTGTGAGTGTGTTAGTAAGCCTCCAAGACACAGGTGCCAGGGGACCCAGGGGGTGTGACACTGGACTGAAGATTCAGTGTGAAGCTGCCCAAGAAAAGGAGATGTAACACCTCAGACAATGACACTCTCCAGAAGTCGGTTTCTTCTCCACGAGCCCACTGCCATTCACTCAGGCCTACGACGCTTGGGCACTCTGCTCGCCGGGCCTGCTTCTGTATCACTCACTCACCTCCAGGCTCTCAGCATAGGAACCTGCCCACCCACACAATGCACCCCACAATCTCTGCAGCTTCCTGGCAACAAGACCGTGCGCAGCCACACAATAAAAGCTTGTCTACGATGATCTCATTCTTTCTCCTCTAAAAGAGCATACCCCTTAACTAAGTAGAATACGCCATCTTCTCTGTTCTCCTACTGGCTGGTGGACCTGTGAAGCAGCAGCGCTCTGCTCCCTCAAACTCTGACCTTCCCACCAGAATAGCAATATCAGCACACAGATGCTCATGAGGACAAAATTAAGTTGTAGACACTTGCCTGATGTTTTATAGCATCGTACAACAACTGCCTTCCAGACGGGCTATCAAAATCTCCAACAATCCAAAAAGTGACTGGCCTGATAAAAGAATCATCTGTAGAAAAACAAAACAATAGACTGAGATGGAGAGAAGAAAGGACATTCTGTTTCAATATGGTTATTAAGTAAAATAATTTCTGAAAATCATGCAAAAAAATTAGAAGATTACAAGTTTAATAAAGATACAAAGCAAAAGTAGTGAAACTGATAGTAGAATGAAAGCAGGGTACCTTCCATATGGCTTAATTATAAACTAGGGACATGCAATTATTAATTCTACTAAGGTTTGGGCATCTGTTAGCACATAAAATGAAAAAGACCTTTGAACGTGTGGGTAACATATAGTCTTTAATCATATTAATTTGTAACTTTCTGAAATATACTTCTTTGCAAACATTTATACAAACTTTATCTAAATGGATAAATTATCTACTGTTACCCACAGGTTCCATAAACATCTCAACAAAAGGTCAATAAATTCTGAAATATAACAGTACCTGAAATATGATAATTAAGAAAAGAAACAGAACATTCTAAAGTTTAAAGTTACCATAGATTTCCTTGGAGGACATCCCTGGGCAAAGGTAAAGGAAAAAAAAAAAGTCATTTCTAGGGTTATTGCCTATTATCAGAGTCAAATTTTAAATAACGCCTAACACGACCTATGCTTCGTTCTGTTCCTTAGTCCCACTCGTGCTGAGCATTGTCCAGTGCTCCTCAGAACCAGTTTCCTGAAGAATCAAATGGAGCAATGACTGCACTTACATAGGCCTAGGCACTAGACCTGTTCTCTAGAGATTGCAGTGGGATGCAAACAGCTGACTTAAAGGACAGTCAGTGTGACCACAGGGGAAGTGCCTCTGTCTGCCATCAAAAGGATATCATTTCACACAGTCTTAACCTAGATAAATAACTACATAAAATCAGTTTTAAAACTTACACAAGTATTTCTAGAACCAAGTTTACCTTTAAAAAATCAACCCAATGCTGTCACTGAAGAGGCAAGACAAAACAATTTCCAATCCATTAACCCTTTAAAACATCATAAATGTTTTTCCATTCTGAGCCATGAATTTTTTTTCCTTTTTCCTTTAATATCTAATTTAAAAATTACAAGGACAACATTTAAATTTTCAGAACTATATAATTAAATTTTAAATAGATATTTTCTATGCTCAAATCATAATAATTAATAAATTATGACATCTCTCTCCCAACAGATACTAATGATTAAATTTTTTTGCAAATACTAAAACAAATGTTGAATCCAAGATAAGCCTAGAATATTACCTTTCTTTGTTAGATAGTTCATACTATTGGCTATAGCAGCAGTCTTGCCTTGAGAATCTAAGGCAGTAAATCTAGCATAATCATCCACAAAAAAGTTATCTGAAAAAAAATTGAAATAGATTCATAATTAATATGACTAAATTCCATCTAATGTTAATTTCAACTGATAATCTGACATGACCATAAGTTTTATAAGAATGCATGAATGAGATATATTGCTTCATATTTATTAAACAACTTTATAATCCCAGACCCCTATTCCAGTAATAACATTTTAATACACAAAGTTAATAAAAATGAACACATCTCACATGACTCTCATGTATGTATGTGTCATTTCAATGGTTTGAATTTATTCTAGTCCCACTTCTATCACTTCACAGCCTGAGAATATTTCCTAAAGATCCCCCTTAGCGTCATCTCTCCCTTCCACTGTCCATCCACCATAATAAGCTCCTCCTTATCCTTATTTGGGGGGAGGAGGGGGGGTTTGTGTGTGCAAAAATAGGAAAGAAAATACAAAAATTCTCATTTTAATGTTTTCATGGATCAGAAAATAGTATATCCTTAGCCCAAACAGAAATAAAAGGTCAATTTCCGATACATAGCTTCTCTGATTAGTGCCCATGGACATGCTCTCAATAATCGTTTCCCGCCATGACCAGTTTGGCTCAGTGGATAGAAGGGTCCTGGGTTCGATTCCGGTCAAGGGCATGTACCTTGGTTGCGGGCACATTCCCAGTAGGGGGTGTGCAGGAGGCAGCTGATTGATGTTTCTCTCTCATCGATGTTTCTAACTCTCCCTCTCCCTTCCTCTCGTAAAAAATCAATAAAATATATTTTAAAAAAATCATTTCCCCCTCAGATTACTCTTGCCAAAATTCCAGTTTCAGCACGTCATTCCCTTGCTCTAATCTACCCAGTAATTTCTTCCTACCTACAAAACGGTCCCCAGCCTGGTATCATAAACCCTCTATCTCTAGCAACCTCCCCAAGCTTATGCATTATCTCACCCCAACACAGATGCCACCCTTCTCTCACTGTCCTCCAAGCACGTCTTGCACATCCTCCCATCTACCTGTCTGCTCACCCACTCACCCACCTGTACTTTCATTCCACAAAACACACTAACCCTTTCCATCAGGACTCCAGACAGGAAAGCTGGTAAGCTAGACAGAAAGCAGTGCCCGCCACGACTGAAAGAGAGCAGCAACAGTGGCAGAGCCAGGGCTGGGGCAGAAGGCGGCCAGCTGTGCCTTCCCTGACAGGCCCACAGCTCGCCCCGCAGACTGCACTGCTCCCGGAACCAGCAGCGTTTCTCAGCTCGTTACCAGGGCGCCCACAGAGAAAGGACCTCTTCATTCACGCACACCCCAAAGGTAACTACTGACAGTTAAAGTGATGAAAACAACAAAAGCTCAGGATAAAGATTCACAGCACTGTTCGCCTTGCTCTATTAAAACTTCCGGCGCCCTGGCTGGTGTGGCTCAGTGGTTGCACTGAAGGGTCGCAGGTTCAAGTCCTGGTCAAGGGAATGTACCTGGGTTACAGGTTCGATCCCCAGGCCTGGGACACGTGTGGGAGGCAACCAATGGATGTTGTCTCTCTCACATGGCCTTTTCTCTCTCTTTCACCCCTCCCCCCCTCCTTCCACTCTCTAAAAATCAATGAAAACTAAAATCCTTGGTGAGGATTAACAAAAAGAAACAAAAAATTTCTGGTGAAAAGCAAAAACCTAATGTAAAGAAACAATGCAGTTCACATTCTGACTATTTTCTTTTCAAATATAAGCATTTATGTGCATTTTCCTCTACTGAAAAGTTATTCGGCTCAAGTTAGATTAGGAGATGGTTGCCATAAAGTAACAGCCATAAGTAGATCTACACATTCATCATTCACCATGACAACAGACACACTTGGCTCTGACTTCGCTAGTCCCCGTCTTTCCCCGCAGTGAGACTTCTCGGACAGGGATGACATTTCCCTTCTTCCCAGCTGGTTGCTAACGTGGCCGTCAGATCTCACAGGAAGGCCTAAGGAGCAAACTACACCTGGGCGTAGTACATCTGCCTCGTGGAAGGTATTCTTGTGGAAACAACCCAAACACTCATCAACTGAGGAATAATAAGCAACACGTGAGCTACTTATACTATGGATATTAATCAGCCATAAAAAGGAATGAAGTACTACTGACATATGCTACAACATGGATGAACCTGAAAAACATTGGAAGTCAGTCACAAAAACGTCACATTATATGAATATCCAGAATAGAAACATACATAGAAACAGAAACTAGATTAGTGGTTGCTGGAGGATAAAAGAAAAAAATGGAAAGTGACTATTAATGGGCACATCAATTCTTTTGGGAGTGATAATGTTCTAAAATTAGATAGTGGTAATGATCACACAACTTTGAAAATATACTAAAATTTGTACAATTTGAAATTGTGCACTTTCAAGGATTTAGTTTTATGGCATGACACTATTTCTCAATGAAGCTTTATTTTTTAGAAAGGCATTATGTTCTCAAAGAAAAGCTACCTAAAATATCTGTTGACATTATTGCTGATTCTAGAATAATGATGAAGAAAAGATAGTGCTTGAGAGTTTTATAACTAAGAAAGTGAATGATACAGGTCCCTTTTATCACCTAAGCTTGTTTAGTTGGTAAAAGGCACTGAATATTTTCCAAAGTTTACAAGGATTTATCCAGGAAGAATTTCTCTCCTTTTGGAAGACACTTTTGTAAATTTAGAAGCTTGTATTATAAATTCAAGGTGCAATGAATTTAAACATAAAATTGTGTCACAATCTTGGGTCATCTTCTGAACACTGACATCTCATAAATGCAAAGATTCTGAAAAACTAATCAAAAACAGCCCGAAAGTAGTTCCTGAAATGCTTCTTACTGGTTGCTGTTAAATCCAGGTATTCTCGCTCAGCTGTCAAAATCCTAGAATTGATTCGTGGAACAACATTCGGCTGATTCATAATATACTCTACCACATCCTGATCATGAGACAATTCACCCTAAAGAAAAAAAGAAAAACAGGGTATGGGTGGAATGAGCGTTAAAACACATCTGATCAAAATAATTTATTAGAAACTAATAAATCATTAACTTTATATTATCTTCTTATGTACCAGTAATTGCTAAAAACAGGCGCTATCACATCACAGGTCCCTGTTATTGCCGAGCATAGCTTGGTGTATTATGCACAGTATAATGTTAACTCCTTCAACAATGTGAGGCAGATATTACTGATGTCCCTTTTAAAGATGAGGCACCTATGGCACAGAAGGTTAAATAGCTAACTCATGATCACAGAGCTAATGAGAAGTGAATATAAAATGCAAATCCAGGTTTATTTTATCTCTCCACATACCACTGTGCTTCCCCAGAAATAGGCAAGTTCCTCAAATTAGTTAAGAGTTAATGTCACCAGTTCCCAACTCATAAGCTGTATTTTACAACGTTACATGTATCACACCACAACACGGTCACAAGCTGCAACAAAACCAAAGGAGAAAGGAGAACTGAGGTAGAAAACGTACCCTTGGGAACCAGGAGAAAGTGGCATTGATTTCAAATGCAGATTTTGGACAAAGTCAGTCCTTTACCAAAAATTATACTGAAGACACTTTTCCTACGATACCACCAGAGTTAGAAGAAACTATTAGAGATGAAAAAATAAGGAGACTTAAGCAGATGCCGAGAGAGAAAGAAGCAGCCCTTGAAGAAATGTGTAAGAAGATGCACCAAAAATAATAAAATGTTGCCATACTTTAAAATATAAATAAAATAAAATAAAGCGTCAATACAAGCATGCCCTGGCCAGTTATTCAGTGGTTAGAGCATTGGCCTACACACCAAAGAGTCATGGGTTTGATTCCTAGTCAAGGGCATGTACCTGATCGTGGGTTCGATCCCCGCCCCTGGTCAGGGCGTGTGCAGGAGGTAACCACAAACAATGTTGTGTGTCTCTCTCACATGGGTGTTTTTCTCTGTCTCTCCCTTTCCCTTCTACTCTCTCTAAAAATCAATGAAAAAAATATCCTCAGGTGAGGATTAACAACAACAACAAAAGTTAACACAAGCAGAAAAACATTCTGAGATCTGCTCATTGTTGGTTTCTCTTAAAGAAGAAAGCCATATAAATTCTCTCAAGCAATTAATATACTTTGTAATAAAAACTGCCCCAAGCCTTTTCACTTTCAGGCATCCAAGTAACCACATATTTCCAGAATCACAATTACAGTGGGGAGAAGAAAAATAATTTATTTTTCTTCCCTTTTACGCTTCTCATGTTATAGAAATACCTGTACAGCTGATCCTTGAAAAATACTATTTGAAGTACACGGGTCTGCAAGGGTCCACTGATAACACAGATTTTTTTTCAATAAATGTTGTAAATGTATTTTCTCTTCCTTATGATTTTCTTAACATTTTTTCTCTAGTTTACTTCATTATAAGAATACAGTATATAATATATAACATACAAAATGTGTGTTTATCAACTTTTTATGTTAACAGTAAGGCTTCCGGTCACCAACAATAGGCTTAGTAGGTAAATTTTAGGGAGTCAAAAGTTATATGCAAATTTTTAACTGCAGGGGCATTGGCACCCTAACCCCTAAATTGTTCAAGGATTAACTGTAGCTTATTGTTAAAAAACAAACAAACGGAAGTTGAGAAAGAAATGTAATGTACTTCAAATGGGAAAAACTCCAAGTCCCACACCTACACCTAATGATGAAATGTCACAGGTGGAAGGGGGTCCTGAAAGGTCCTAAAACCAACTAAAGAGAGGATCCTGAAAACAGGGAGAGAACAACTCATCACATAGACCCAGTCCTGAGTCTGACTCACAGCTGATTTCTCAAGAGAAATCAGAGATCAAAAGGCAATGGAATTACATATTCAAAGTGCTGAAAAGAAAAGGCAGTCAACCAAGAATTCCATATTCAAGTAAATTATCACTTTTAAATGAAGGGCAAATAAACACATTCCCAGATAAAGAAAAACAAAGAGGATTTTTCACTGGGAGACCTAACTGAAAATGGATCCAAAAATTAAATGTTAAGAGAAAAACTATAAAATGCTCAGGAGGAAAGAAACATAGGTATAAATCTTTGTGACCTAGAATTAAACAATAGTTTATTATATATGATTCAAATAGCATGAGCAACAAAAGAAAAAATAGTAAATTGGACTTAATCAAAATTAAAAACATTTGAGCTTTAAAGGATACCACCCAATAGTGAAAAGGCAAATCAGCCCTGGACAATTTGCTCAGTGGTTAGAGCGCCAGCCCACAGACTGAAGGGCTGTGGGTTCGATTTTAGGCAAGGACACGTACCTCAGTTACAGGCTCAATTCCCAGCCTTGGTTGTGACACGTTTGGGAGGCAACCAATCTATATGTCTCTCTCACATTGACATTTCTTTCTCTGTGTCTCTCTCAGTCCCTGCTACTCTCTAAAAATCAATGGGAAAGAAAAATATCCTTGGGTGAAGATTAACAAACAAAACAATAAAAGAAAAGGCAAATCATAAAATGGAGAAAATGTGTGAAAATAATACATATAAGTGATTAGTATCCAGAATACATAAAAAAATTCTTACAACTCAAAAATAACAAAACAACCCAATTAAACATGGGCAAATAATCTGAATAGACATTTCTGCAAAGAAAATATAGGCTACACTTAAAGAGACGGATAATACCAAGTGTTGGCTACAATGTGGAGAAAGTCAAACCTGGATACACAGCTTACACGAATGTTCATGCAGCTGCTTTGGAACATAATCTGTTAAAATAGCAGGCAATCCCACTACTAGATCTATGCCCAGGACAGCGTGTATACAGCTGTTCACAGCAGCACTATCCATAGCAGCCAAAGTGGAAACAGCCCAAGTACCATCAGCTGCTGAGGAGATAAATGTGCTGCATCCACCTAAGGAACTACATTTGTCCACGGAAGAGAATGAGACACTAACACAGACTCTAACAAGGATAAACCTGAAAGCATTATGCTAAGTGAAAGAAATCAGGCACAAAAGACCACATATTGTATGAATCCATTTAAATCCAATGTCTGAAAGAGGCAAATCCACCGAGAAACAGATTCATGGTTGGCAGGGGCCGGATAAGGGAAATGGAGAGTAACTGCTACTGGGTGTTGGTATATGTTAGGGGTGATGATAATGTTCTGAAACTAGACAGAGGTAATAGTTTCGTAACTGTGTTTACTCTAAAAACCAATGAACAGTCCACTTTAAAAGGTTGAGTTTTATGGCATATGAGTTATATTTCAACAATAACTATATATGTGAAATATTTTAACTTTTTTTAGGTCAAAATTCCTTACAAGTAGAACAAATATCTCCCAGAATGACTATCTTAAGAATTTTTAAAATAAAATTTAATCCTGAAACGAATAAAATTAGCTATTATAAAAACAATGTATGGAAAGTCTCATGAATATTTCATTACAGCTTGGCCAGTGTGGCTAAATGGTTGAGCGTCAACCCACACACCAAAAGGCTGCAGGTTCGGTTCTTGGTCAGGGCACAGGCCTGGGTTGCCAGCTTGATCACACGGAGGAGGTGTGCAGGAGGCAGCAGATCAATGATTCTCATTGATATTTCTATCTCTCTCTCCCTACCCCCTCCACTCTCTCTGAAATCAATAAAAACATATTTTTAAAAAATATTTTCATTATTGCAGAACTTGCTAGAAATCTGCAAATCACGTACAGTAGTGTATAGAAAATAGTGATACTTAAAGTAGTTTACTGCCTACGACAAAAATGAAAGCAACCATTCTCTTTCAAAACCAGCCTGCAGGTCAGCTCACCAAGTACACTGCGCGCTGGAAGAAGCTGGTGGTCTCCAGGATCTTGTGCATGGTGATGGTTTCCAGCTCATCAGGGTCCAGCTGTGCCTTTTCCAAGGGCATCCCATTGAACAGAACGACAGGCAGCAGACCAACCCCAGTCTGCTCGTAGTAGCCTCTTGCTTCCTAAAACACAAGGGACCACAAACAGCGTATTTTTGTCCTTCATAAGACAAATGGAACAAAGAATATTTTTCATACATGCAAATTCTACCCAAAAAACTCAACAGAAATATTGTCACCAAGAAGTAACTACAGAAATTTCATTTTAAAAAAAATCACAGGTGATATCATAGTTAATATCCTACTGGGTAAATCTGAGATTAAATTACAGATACTTTATAAAAACACAAAACCTTGTAAATTAGGAAGTAGTATGGGGCTAGGGGTAATTTTAAGTAGATCAAGCTACCAAAACTATACAACAGATCTTTTGGCAATGATGGAGATATTCTATTTTTGCTCTTCAATGCAGCAGCCACTAACCACACCACTTGAAAGCTAGAGGCTACTATAATGGGCAACACAACAACAGACTGACATAAATTATTAGTGTTCTTGGACATATAGTCTAAGAAGAAATATTTACACCCAATTCTATGTGAAAAAGGGTCCATGTCACTAAAAAAGAAATTACACATGTAGAAAACTACACAAAGTTGATGTGAAAACAGTGTTCAAAAATTGCTCTACAACCTTCTGGCCCTTTAAATACAGTTCCTCATGTTGTGGCCCAACCATAACATTATTTTCGTTGCTACTTCATAACTGTAATGTTGCTACTGTTATGAATCGTCATGTAAATATCTGATATGCAGGATGGTCCTAGGTGACCCCTGTGAAAGGGTTGTTCGGCCGCCACAGGGGCCACACCCACAGGCTGAGAACCGCTGCTCTACACTATACTGAGCTCAAGCTTTGTCCTCTCCAGGACAAAAGAGTTTTCTTGGCGGGGAAATGTCAGGCTGACAAACTGGCAGCTATAAACGGCAGATAAATATATTTTTTCCTGACTGCCATTTTTCCCTGTCAAAATAGGTACATTCCCCAGATAACCACCACAGACCCCAGAATTAAAACTTCCTTATGAAATATAACTGATATTTTTCTGAAAACAGAACTTTTTCACCTGCAAACCGTTTCAGTGGTTGCCAACCTTTCGGACCTCGTGGACCACCAGTCGTCCGTGGACCACCGGTTGGCAACTGCTGGTCAGAGAGCACAGAGATTGGGTAACTAGCACAAGCATCAGCCAGGGACTGCTTAGTTTCCACCCAGATCGGCCAAAGTAGTACCTGACCGCGAGACCTCTGTGAGGACTGGAGATGGCTCAGGACAAAAGGCCTTTTCTCCACAGCAATGTTCAAAACTGTAAGCATGTAAATTCTGTTCTGTGATAGCTCAGCTTTTTCAAAGATGTCTATAAAAACTCAATTTTAATATACTTTGAGCTTTGAAAATGATTTCCCTAACAAAACAAAACCCACATTTTAAATCTAAGTGACAATGAAAAGTAAGTTAAGTAATGTCGGTGGTCTTTGGGAATGACGACAAAGTGAAAGGCAGGAGTGGGAAGAAGACGTTTTGACTATATAGCTTCCATCTTTACAACTTATAAAGGGTTTACCACACCAAGTAACAAAATGCAGCCCAATTACCAAAGAGCCACGTTTAAAAATTACATGTGAGAATTTCTATCAACTGATCACCAAAAATGTTAATTATAAATAATGTTAAAACATTAATCACTGGAAAAGTCTTATGAATGAGCCACTTACAAGTGACAACTAAGATTAATAAAGACCCAGAATTGCCGAAACTGGTTTGGCTCAGTGGATAGAGCGTCGGCCTGTGGACTGAAAGGTCCCAGGTTCGATTCCGGTCAAGGGCATGTGCCTGGGTTGCGGGCACATCCCCAGTGGGAGATGTGCAGGAGGCAGCTGATCGATGTTTCTCTCTCATCGATGTTTCTAACTCTCTATCTCTCTCCCTTCCTCTCTGTAAAAAATCAATAAAATATATATTTAAAAAAATAAAAATAAAAATAAAGACCCAGAATTAATATGCCAAATGCAAAATGTTTGCATGTGTAAGTTAGAACTTTTTTATCTACCATTATCTTACTGGCTTTGAAAGATACACACCTATCAGATGATAGTCTCTTCAGTTTAAAAGTTCTACTTTAATTGTACTGCCCAATTTTAGAAATAATTGCTTCCTTCCAGTATCAGAGATAGAATATTCCACAGCTTCAGATTTATAACAAAAGTTAGATATTTATAAGTATAAAAACATTTGCTGAATGCACTCATTCCTCCTTTTCAAAAGAATCTATTTTCTTGGGCTTTTTTTGTGTGAGGGTACAGCTCCCACAAGTTTAAAAATCTTACTAAATCATTAGATTCTTAGAACCTATAGGAATCTCACAACATCCTTCTCTTAAGAGTATACCCAGCCTCCTCCCACTCCCAGGCATGCAGCTCACGATTTAGTGCTCTGGGTTAGTGAGACTCTCACTGGACATCCATATCAATATTACTTTATTCAAAAACCATAAAAGGTAAGTGACTCAAATAGTTAGAGAATGAAGTAGTATATACAAGTAATATGATCTCTTATATATGGGAAGAGCTACTAATCAGTACCGATGAGGAAAATGGTCAAGTCTGGAAATTCCTGAGGAGCTAGGTCTGATACACCCATTTGATTCTTTAGCAAAACAAAGATTTAAACACATAAAAGACAACATGTAAAAATACCCTTTCCCCAAACTTGTCTACTGCATACTTTTCAAGCAAATACTTTTGTTTTTAAATATATTTTATTGATTTTTTTACAGAGAGGAAGGGAGAGAGATAGAGAGTTAGAAACATCGATGAGAGAGAAACATCGATCAGCTGCCTCCTGCGCATCTCCCACTGGGGATGTGCCCGCAACCCAGGTACATGCCCTTGACCGGAATCGAACCTGGGACCTTTCAGTCCGCAGGCCGACGCTCTATCCACTGAGCCAAACCGGTTTCGGCCAAGCAAATACTTTTGATATAACAATCACCCACAATAAAAAGGCAACATGAATTTTTTCAATAGAATAAATTAGAATTAAACATTTTCTAAACGTGAAATAGATAAAATTCCATTCACTCCCTCAAATCTTTGGTATTCCCAAAGTGGTCTTTCTTGTATTTCATCTGTTCTTTTTCTACAGCCTACTATTCTTGCTGTTTGAAAACATGAAAAGAAAGTACTAGGCCCAGGCAGTGTGGCTTAGTTGGTTCAATCCTGTGCACCAAAGGCTGCTGGACTGATTCTGTCAGGGCACCTACCCGGGTTTCAGGTTCGATTCCTGGGTCAGGTCACATATGGGAGGCAACCAATCGATGTTTCTCTCTCACATCGATGTTTATGTTTCCCTTTCTCTCTCTCTCTCCCCCCCCCTTCTTCTCCCTCTCCCATTCTCTAAAAATAGTATATGTATATGTATATGTATATGTATATGTATATGTATATGTATAATATGTATACGTATATTTAAAATAGGTTGCTGGTTCAATTCCTGGTCAGGGCACATGCCTGGGTTACAGGCTTGATCCCCAGTAGCGGGGGGTGCAGGAGGCAGCCAATTGATGCTGCTCTCTCTTTGATGTTTCTCTCTCTCCTCCCTTCCTCTAAAAATTTTTGATAAAAACATATTAAAATTTTAATTAAAAAATCACTGGGTGTCCATATCAATATTACCTTATTCAAAAAAATCATAAAAGGTAAGTGACTGAGCAGAATGCTGCAATATCATAATGGATCCATCTCCAGTGTAAACTGAAGAGATCTCATGCCCAGCTTCAGCTCCATACCCACCTTGATATATCACAGCACAAGGAGACCTCACACTAGGGCAGGATGACATCAGCATCACGGCTGAAGGAGACGCCCCTCCCACCAAAATATGGCATCCACCGCGGACTCAAGTGCCCTTGTGAGGGGCTGGTTATCCGGCACCATCTGCCCCGTGGCCCGGGCAGAGTCCGCCCCCTGGTGCATCAGGGGATGGGCACAGAGACTCCAGCCCCACCCCCTGGTGCATCAGGGGACGGGCACAGAGACTCCAACCCTGCCCCCTGGTGCATCAGGGGATGGGCACAGAGACTCCAACCCTGCCCCCTGGTGCATCAGGGGATGGGCACAGAGACTACAGCCCTGCCTATGGACCTGCTTGGTCCATGAACTGGCTCTAGAGCCTCTTGGACACAGCCTGGGAACCCCTGGAAAAAATGTCTTACAAAATCATCCATGGACAAGAGAGCCTTTGTGGAAGTCCAGGCTTCTAGCAGAGAAGCTCCAGTACACCACTGGAGAAAAGAACTACAAGTTTGGACATAGTAAACAGGGAAAGAGCAAGTCTGTCTTTACACTACCACCCCTCCCGAAGGCAGTGCAAGCTCATGGCCTAGAGGTATCCTGGTGCCTATGACTTCTCCTGCAGGGGAAAGTGAGAGCAAGTGAGCATGCCCCTGGCTTCCCCACTATCTAGGACGCTGCCACAGGGGCTCATTTCTCTCTCATCCATCCTAAAGCACTGACTTGGGAGCTGCATGCCTGGGAGTGGGGGAGGCTGGGAACACAGACGCTGCTCTCAGAGGCGTCTAATGGAGGCAGATCATACTGCTTTCATCAAGATGTACAGCCACGAGCCACCCAGACACCTCCTCCACGGATTTCCCCAAAGGGCTCACGGGTACCAGTGCTCACCCGTCACACTCCCACCCTGTGGTGGCTCCCTGTGTACACTCCTGACAGTGGCAGCAGACAGAGTTTTGCCAGATGGCCAGTGAGCACGTACAGAAAGTCAGCCCAAATCTGTGGGCCAGAAAGAGCCAAAAAACTTGAGCTTTAGGGCCATCTTGGGGAAAACAAAAGGGGGGCAGGTCAGTGTCCAATACTGGGCATTGTAGAATCAAGAGAGTCTATACAAGCTTCTGAATTCTGTCCCACAGAGAACAAAGAGCATGGAGCAGGTGTATCCACAGACAGTCAGAATGCCTCAGAATTCCTAGCAGCCTGAAGAAAGGTATTTCTCACCCAAAGGCAGTTACAAAAGATTCGAGAAAGTGACTGCTACTTCAAATGCAA